GCCGACCTCGCCATGCAGGTGGTGCGAGAACGACGAGTATTAAGCATAAAACCCGCGGAGATTTTCACAATTGGGTCAAATTAATTATTGACCTCTGCTAAAACCTCCTAATAATTAAGCGTGTCAGGTACTCATCTGGTGGTGGATTCTAGATTGCTTTCCCACGGAATCCTGTTTGGGCAGTCGGCCTAATGTATCAGAATTGATGAATGCATACGTTGCAGTAAGCTGGGCGGGGAAATCGTGCCAACGGCTGCCGATGGGGGTTAGTTAGAGCGTTGGCTGTACTAAAGCCTTCCCCTTACTGGCGTGAGTTCGAATACCACCGAAGCCGCCAAGTGGTTTACAAATGGGTCAAATGAATTATTCAAATCTGCCACACCCCTTCTACTGGCCCGGTGATGAGTAACTGAAACCATATGTTTGCCAAATTGACTTTTCATACTTAACATTTATTTTAATTATGCGAAGATGGAGTAGCAGAACAGAACTGAAAGAAGAGGAAAGAGTTAGGGGGGAGTGAAAATACAAGCAGTGCTTGCCGCAGAAGACTGAATAAAAGATAGGACGAAAGAGACGAAAGGGCAGGAATGAGGCAGATCATATACCTTGAGGAACTCACGACAAGTGAGGAAGGAGGGACGTGCGTTCGAAATCCCACCAGGCTGGAGGTCGGTGCCTCCGTTAATGGCAGCCTCGATGGCAGCCTTCTCCCGCACCGAATGCCACTCGAGAGCAAAGTAGGCGAAGGGATTCAGGATGACCAACTGGGCCGGAGCAAAGAGGTAAATGTAGCTAGCTAGATCCGGATAGAGCAGGCGAACTGAAAAAAAAAACATGAGAATGAATTGAAGCACGAAGGGTTGCATTCCCGGTGTATGTTAAAGTAAGGCGAAAGAAGGTTGTTCGCTTGCTGGAATCAGGTTTGTATTCATCTGAGCTCTCGAACCCTTACTGGATTCCATCGTCAGAATTGCATGCCGATCCAAATCCAAGATGTGCAAACGGGGTCATGAGAAACAGGGAGCAATTAAATCCTACTGAGCAGTCGGGTGTAGTGTACCCATCCAGTGCCTCAACTGTCATCTCAGCTACACGGCACAGACTAGAAGTACGCTTGAATCGCGCATACACGAACACAAGCTGGGAGTAACAATACAGTTGGTCTACCACCTTAGACCCAATATTTGTTCCTACATCTATTGCCAGCAGTATCTCTCAACTCAACCCACACTGACACGGCATACCGATTTGCCATCGACGTGCAACTCAACCACCGTCATTCTCCAGCCGTCCCTTCGACCTGGCTCATACTTGAGCGTCTTATTCTCCCCTCGCTCAATAGACATG